TACTTGCCTCCCCCTTCAGAGCAGGAGAGATATCTGAAATAGAGGGAATACAGAGAACATATACGGCACGCATAGACGCGATAAAGCACCTAAATTATTGGGATCGTCTCAAAGCCCTCCAAATGTACTCACTAGAAAGAAGACGAGAAGGATATCAAATAATATACACGTGGAAGATACTGGAGGGCCAGGTCCCAAATCTGCACAGTAAAATAACAACGTACTGGAGTGAACAATTTGGAAGAAAATGCAGAATAGAACTAGTGAAGAGCAGGAGGTGCCATAGGCACAGTCAGAAAACACTGTATAAATATCAGAGGTCCACAGTTGTTCAACACCCTCCCAGCGAAGATAATAAATATTGCGAGAACAACCGTCGACATCTTCAAGAGGAAAACTAGATTGTTTCTAGATTGTTTCCTCCAAGGAGTTCCAAACCAACCGGGCTGTGGTGGGTATGTGGGCATGCGGGCTGCTCCAAGCAACAGCCTAGTGGACCAAACTCTCACAAGTCAAGCCTGGCCTCGGGCCGGGCTTGGGGAGTAGAAGAACTCCCAGAACCCCCATCAACCAGGTATCAACCAGGCGATTCGTGAGCGACCCGAATCCTCCGAAGAGCAAACCACACCACCGCGAACTCCTGCATCGTGCTGTGGGCCCGACGGAAGAACGGACCCCACCGCTCCTGGCCTGCATGGTAAGCACTGGTCACAAAATCCCAGCCGAGAGACAACGTGTCTGTGAACACATCGAGCAAGGGCTCGGGCAGGCGCCAAGGCACTGAACCCTGACAAACCCGATGAGGTAGCCAGCGACACAGCAGCCAACACAAGACCCCCTGGGGGCCGAACCCAGCGATTGCGAGAGAGGCGGAAGGGACTTCCCTAAAGGAACCAGAACAGGCGATGCAGCCAAACCCAACCCGGTAGGTAGACCATCATCCCAAAGTTCAGGCTCCCTCATAGACCCTCGAGCAATCGCCGGGTGACCCGGAAGCTCCCCGGAAACATGCGCATGCAGGACCGCAGCCGAAGGAGAGGCTCCGGAGGAAGATACAAGGAAGCAGTTCAAGTGTCCCATACAAGACCCAACCAAGCCCGAACCTGTTTTGGTATGAATGTTTGTGTACCTTCATCATATTTTGTGCAAAATTTGGCATACATCTCATTTACTTCCTTGCCTAGCAACAAGTCTGTCCAATTATACCCACGAAAAAAAAATTCTAAGTTCCCCATAGCGTCCTCTCTTGAAATAGAGTTTAACAACTGTTTCACTGTCCCCATTCTCTACTAGATTATATCACATACCGTATTTAATGTCCAAGAGGACGTGGTCACTCTTTCCCAAGGGGGGAAGGTACTGGATGTCAAATACCTCTTCTTGTTTCCTGGTGAATACTAGATCCAGTACTGACGGAACATCCCCTTCCCTCATTGTTGTGAGGGAAGATACAATATCCTACTGTACACTGGTAATTATGTTATATCGCTCAACAACCTTTAACAAGTTACGTGGCCCAGGACACCAAACAAATATATCATAGTCTATTCAAAGGATGGAGAATCACATAATTGCCAGCCATTACTGGAACATATATATTAGACAATCCTATTTCTACTAATGTATAAAATAGTTCCACAAGTACAATAAATATACCATGGATTCATATTTGGGATTTTGTGACAGGAATATTATAATAGCAGTTGTGTAGCTAGTCATAGTGCGATGTGTAGAATATTGGGGGCATTGTCTTGCATCACGGGACTGCTGGTGTTGTCTGCTCGTATTATGTGGCTCCATGCTGTCTTTTGATTTCAATACCATTTCCATCAGAACTGCTATTAGTTTGTTATGGTGCATATAAATGTTGATAGTGATATATATAACACGTATATATATAGTGTAATAACAGCAAGAAGAGTATGCTAATAGTAGCAATCTTGGCCAGTGAGGTAGTGTTGTCAGCTAACTGGTGTAGTGGTGCTATGCTTTTAGGATTTGCCAAACTAGCTTAGTGGTTTGTTATGGTGCAATAAATGTTGATAGTGATATATAATGTGTGTATATAGTGTAATAACAACAAAAACAGTTTGATTGATCTAAGCATGTCACTATATATGAACCCCATATTTTTTAGCATAGCAGTATTCCACACATTTCATTAGATTGTATAGTTTATTATAAATTAATAACATTCATTTTACTGGGTATAAATTATTCCATTCACCTGGGCTCTAAGAGACTCAAACCATGGATCCCACACGTGTGAGGCAGAAGCTCTATTGACCGAGTTATTGAGTAGTCCTAATAAGGAAAGTTTTCAGACGCAGCATCCTGTTGCCAAACTGGAATTATATAAAATTTCATAAATTATACAGTATTTGATAATATTATTGCAAAACACTAGGTATAAAACCTTTCACAGACACCGAAATAATCATGTAAAAATGTATTTGGGGCAGCCCTTGCACCACTCAACTGTCGGGCACTAAGTTGACCTTTGATTTTTTATTCTGTGTATAATAAACTCTCAACACGATCTTTGTGGTGCACAAAAAATGTAGATATTTATATTTAAATTGTGCATATAGTGTAATAATGGTAAAAACCTGCGTTGAATGTAATGAAACGCCATTTTCTGGGTGAGACCCGGAGGCTTCCCAGAGCTATACCAGGATGATGTGTATATATTTAGACCGTGGCAACAGTCAATCGAAAGAGTTCTAGGTCTACCGGCGACCAGAGCCAGAACCTGGCTTCCTTAAGAGAGGCACGAGGAGCAATGGCCTAAAGACACCCCTGTGTAATTGGAAGAGTACCCCCAGTACTCTTCTGAATTCACTGGGCAGTTTTGGAGCCCAACCAGGATTTTATAGCAGACCCACTCACACTCTGGCCTGCGGTAATGGTGTTCACGCTCTTATACCCCACTATCAGATCACGAAATCTGATCTGATAGTGGGGCGTAAGAGTGTGAACACCATTACAGCAGGCCAAAGTGTGGGGCAGGTCGACTGTAAAATCCTGGTTGGGCTCTAGTTCGGAGCCTCTAGAACATTCCAGTAAATTAATCAGAGTTCCAGGCTGGTCAACTTTTAGCCCATCATGGTCGAGTCTGTTAACCCCTTAACTGCGTTGCCTCCAAATATGACATCCCCGCAGTGCGCAGGAAATAAATTCTCTGGGAAAAAAAAAATCTTTTTTTTTTTTTTTTTTTTTTTTTTTGTCAAAAACCCTTCCCTGAGTATGGGTATGTAAAAAAAAAAATCGAAATTGTACTTACTTTGGCGGGCTGCTATGGAGTCCATAAGTTGGGGCGTGACGTCATCATTGCCCGTGACGTACGCGCCCGGGGCAGGTGGGGCGCCCGGGGCGTGGCACACGAGTTGCCGCGAATATATTTTTGTTCATTTTTTGCGCACAGTTCTAAATACATTTTATTTGTTTTTACGTGCTAATCCTATGTATAATGAACACGTACACTATATTATGGCAGTAAAACATCCGTACTGTCCGAAGACACTGTGTTACGTACATGACACTTGTGTACATGTATGCTGCACATATTTACTGTGTATCATGCTAATTTATGTATATATATACAATCTATTTACAGACTATACACTGTCACACACTATATACATTCACCATCAACACACACACAACTCCTCGAGTGTGAGCTGTCACACCCAGCCAGCCAGTTCTCCCTCTCTCCTCCAACATCATACTCACCATCACCCCTCCCACCATACTGTTATTTACACCAATGTTTCGTGTTCATTTATGCATATTTACAACACATTTACACTACACTGTCACACACCATAAACACACTCAGAACTCCACGAGTGTGAGCTGCCACACCCAGCCAGCCAGTCCTCCCTCTCTTCTCCAACATCGTACTCGCCATCACCCCTCCTCCCACCATACTCCTACTGTTTGTATTACACTATTTACACAAGTTATGTATACCTATCTACATGTTTTATTCACCAGAACTATGCAAGTAAGCCGGTATTGTGTCCAAACAGTACAGTGGCCACCATACACTGCATGAGAAATCACACGGCAGACAGCAGACGACGCTACAATTATGACATCACTACCCTCACCAAAATAGCTCCTCCCAACATACTCCTGGTGCTGTTATTATACTATACACACACACTGTATATACCCATGTACATATGTGTTCCCCATACCGAACCACTAAGCTAGTATGGTGAGCAAAACAAGAGTGGCTCCCACACACAGTGGATGCTACCTCAATTCTCTCCCTTCCTCCCTCACCAAAATTCCTCCTTCCTTAATACTATGCACAATGCTAATTATAACCACAATCCTGGTCACTAATTCCTGTAAATGAATAATTGACCACAAGTTTATTTTGAAAAGGAACCTAAGAAGTCATTTGAAGATTCCTAGGTGGACGAAATAATGCTGTGGTGCTGTGACTAGTGCTGTGAACATCATGAACAGCATTGAATCACTGATATTTGAACATTGTTCCCAGTCATTATCACACTCAGGCTCTTCTATAATACTATCATGGCTAAATAATACAGATTATATATATATATATATTGACATTATTAAGCGATGCTGTGGTCACACGCTGAACAGCAGTGCTGTGCGCTCATACTGCGTGCGCCGGCCTTGGTTGCTCACTCACTACTGAGGCTCCAACACCCGGGAATGTGGACTATGATTTTTTTTAAAGATGGCGTCTGTTTACAAGAGCCCTGAGGAAGCTGATGTGAACCCCATGTAGCCGCGGGAGTTTTGAATGGAACGGGAAAAATACAAATACCCGGAGGCGCGTTGCGCACCCGAAGCCTGGGCCTGCAGGCGTGTTGCGCAGTTTAAGGGATAAGGCAGGCATCTGGGAATCACCATAACACTGGTTCAGGTCACTCCATTGCCTCAAAATTATTTTCACTCTTAATATTAATGTGCATATTAGGGTCATTACATTAATTTTTTATTTTTAAATTTTCCAGACACATTCAAATAGAGAGAATGAATCCAAAACTGAGGACATGAATATAGCGAGTTCTACTGCAAGTACTAAGTCATCTAATCTTAACAAAATAAGAATAACAAGTCCTTCGACAGCTATCAAGTCAAGTAGCTTGAAACCAAAGAAAATAGTGAGTTCTCCCACAGCTTTCAAGTCAACCAACCTACTATCAGGAGATGGCAGGAGCAAGCACACTTTAAAAGAAAATGGTAATATTTCATTGGATATTTTTTCCCCTTTTTGCATGTTTTGCATTTTTGCTATAATCATTTACAAACTTACCAAAAATCTGCTTTAAATGAAACTCTAAACCAAACGCATTAACTACTATACTTTAGAATCTCAGTTTCAACCCATACTCTGCTTGGATGGTTGTAGAGCTCGCATGCTTCCACACGAGTTCCATCAGTAACCCAGCAACACTCATGGTGCATTTTGGATATAGTTTTCCAGCACGTGTAGTTAATTAATAGTGGAATGTTATTAGTAGTGCTGTGCAGGAGTACCAGTCAGATGACCCCTGGCTGTCCAGGTTTAAATCTTGGTGTTGCCAAAGAGTTCATAGTGATTTACGGCTTGGAGATCATTCAAGCTTTCTCACATTTGTGGCTCAACATGATACCTGGAACACACTCTGGAGAGAGAGGAACAGGCAGACAGAAACGTTGCAGGAGTACAGATGGGGAGGGAGAAATGCACAGGATTGGACTACAATTCATCATCAAGCACACTCCCTAATCTCACAAACTACAACACACCCCTAATCCCACAAAAACTACCACTCTCTCCAACATCAGTACCACTACTAAAACTGGATGAACCATTGCCAAAACAGCACAGGGTCAGGGTGGAGAGGGGGGAGAACTACCAAAACCCAGCAGAAGTGGTACACAATATGGAAAATCATTCATATTTGCAAACATACAAGCCTAAAGTCAAAATCAAGAAATAAAGTCAAGTTCATAAATGGCCTTCTAGTAAGAGTCGAATTCAATATTTGGGGCATTCACTGAAACCCATACGAAAGATCACATAAATAGTGAAATCTGAATTCCAAATTATATTTTCTGGGGAAAGCCCCTTGGCTCCCCGGAGCTATCCAGGCTGATATGTAATTATTAGCTTTCTGGCATCAAAGTGCATGGAATTCTACCTACCGGGGACCACGAGCCAAAACACGGCCCTCCCTCAGAGAGGCGCGAGGAGCAATGGTCTATAGAAACCCCCGTGTGGTTTGAAGCATTCTGTGTCTGCCATCGACTGGGAATGTCATCCAGAAAGGTAGGCGTCCCAAAACAAACCCCTATACTGGTAAAAATTGCTACCAAAAGCTGAACAAGTGGACAGAACTCCCCAAAAGAAAAACTAGCAATTAGCATGACGTCATCACATCGCCACGCCGCCATCTGCGCAACCCCTCTCACTCCCCGGGAGGGAGAAGAGGAAGCCCTAGAACCCCACACTGGCGATCCAACTGTCGGTTTTTGGCTGTTGTGAATACTGGCTAGTCGGGTGCCTCTGGCTCCAGTTTTTGTTTTCAGTTACTGTGCCTTGTGGCATGGTCTGTCTCTACAGGGGGTGTGCAAGCCAGGAGCAATATTCTACGGTACTCAGGCTACATGCACCTAGGGTTACCTTCCCTAGGGGCCCAGTAAGTACTGCCTTTGGAGCTTGGGGCAACCTTTCACAAGTCACCTTGGGGGTCTACCTCCGCTGTGCTTTTTACTGCTTGGTACTTGGCCACCCTTGGGGTCAACTCGGGTCTTGCTGCCCTTGTTTGCCTCTGGGTAGGAGGTAGTTTTTGTCACTGGTAAGGGCGCAGGGTACTGCACAGCTAGTTATCACCTGTTATAGCGGCCGGCTCTGTTCCACCTGCGTACGTTGTCCTCTTGTGGGTTTCTTTTTTTTTTCTGGGGAGAGCTTACTAAACTGATATGCTAATGTCAGACTTTGGCATCAGTCATGTGTATGGAGTTCTATGGGCCTACCAGGGACCACGAGCCAGAACCTGGCCCCCCTCAGAAAAGGCAAGGGGAGCAATGGCCTATAGAAACTCCCATGTGGTTGGAAGCATTCTATGTCTGCTATCGACCGGGTCAAACACCCAGAAAGGTAAGCATCCTAAAACAAACCCCTATTCCGGTGAAAATATTGCTATTAAAAGCCGAACAAGTGGATAGAACTTCCCTAAACGAAACGAGCAAATGATCGTGACGTCACACGTCGCCACGCCACTGTTTGCACATCTCTCCCCCCCCCCCTCCCCGGGAGGGGGAAGAGGGGCCCCAGACACCCCACACTGGCTAGCCACCCGTTAGTTCTTAGGCTGATGCTAGAGGCTACGGTTGTGTGCTCTGGCTCCAGACATAGTTTTAGCACTGTGCTTTGAGTGTGGTGGCTGCCTTCTAGGGGTGCGAGTCAGACATAGTTTTAGCACTGTGCTTTGAGTGTGGTGGCTGCCTTCTAGGGGTGCGAGAGCCAGGAGTACTCCAGTACTCGGGCTGTATGCGCCTAGGGTTCCCTTCCCTAGGTGCCCTGTAAGTACTGCCCTTGGGGCTTGGGGTTTCCTTCCACAAGTTTCTTGGGTCCTGTCTCTATTGGCCATTTTACTGCTTGGTTTTTCAGTCGCCCTTTGGGTACTTGGGTGTTTTGTCTCCCTTATTTACCCTAGGGTAAGAGGCGGTTTGCACTGGTTCGGGGCGCAGGGTGCTGTGTAGCTTGTTTTCACCGATTATAGCGGCCAGCTCTGTTCCTCTAGGGTACGCTGTCAGGTTCCCTCCCTCTCGACTGCGCAGGTTGCCGAGGACATGCACGCCCGTGACCTTTTGACTTTGGCCTTGCGTTTCTTTTCCCTCCTGGAGCTGTCTTCGGACTGGCTTGAAGTCGACCTATCAGGTTGGGTGTGACATTGGCTGGCTTGGGGTGCACTCAAGTCTGCCATTTTTGCCGAGTTTTCTTAGCAAACAGGTGTTTTAGCTCCTATTTGGCACAAGTGTACTATTCTGCATTTCAGTTGGCTCATATTTATCATTTGTTTGTAGGATCTAAGTCTATTCATTGTCCATGTCTATCTCACCATGGTTATAAAACATGATTCCAAAATATATTTCCTTTATTTTATTACAGGTGGGTTTGAGGTCACTAATGAGGTTGGCGAAACCACGGGATATGAAGATTGGATTCCACGGGGAAATGTGTTGAGAAATATGCATCATGGAAAGATAAGTGTTACTGTTACAGATAACAGAAATAAGACTCCTTTGATGAGTAATAGTGAGAAAAGTCTATTGTCAGAAAAGGAGATCATGGATGAACTTTGTAAAGAAAAACAGATTAGTGATTTTGAATTTGAAATGGCAACGAAAGAACTTGAATGTCAATTACAAAATAAGGGTAAATTAAAAATGAAGATTATAAAAAAGACAAAGAAATGTGCAATATATACAAACCCAAAGAAAGCAAAGGCCAAATCTGTGAGTTATAATTCTAGTCTTAGAAGTAAAAATTTTAGATGCAGTAAGCCTGATAGGTTTATAAACCAAAAAAAAAATGAATTTAAAAATGTAATTAGTAAGGAACCAAGTTGTAACGTATCCCCTGTTACTCCAGTGTGTGAAACTGACCAGCAATGTTTGTCTCATAAACAGTCAGAATATAACGGAGAAATACTTGGTTTGGAACTAAATACCACTCAGTCCCAGATATGTAATAATGAAATAAGTAACACTCAGTCTGAGGTATGTAATATAGAAAGAAAAAACTTACAGTCCCAGATATTTTATTCTGATATTATAAATTCTGAATATTATGGAGAAACACTTGGTTTGGCATTAAATACCACTCAGTCCCAAGTGTGTAATCATGAAATAAGCAACACTCAGTCTGAGGTATGCAAATCTGATAGCTTATCTCATGAGTACACCTTGGATTTTCATGAAAATATAATCATAAAGTCAGAGGAAAATTTATATGATGCATGCAATTTTAAGCAAGAATTACACTCAGTTTCTGAGAACCATAATAGTGAAAGCATTTTTGTAAAACCGTCAATTATGTATCCTATAGATATAAAATGTGAACCATTATGTAATACTCCTTTTGAGAATAATGATGGAGTTGATTTAAATATGCTTAAACTTACCCCTGAGGAGAGTTTAAGTTTTTCTTCAGATAGAGTAAATAATTATGAGGAAAGTGAAATCAATTTTTTAGATTCTAATTCTCATGAAGAGGATATTACAGAAACTTTACAGGACACAAGTCTTCCTGTAATATCACAAATTCAGAGTGGGAAGGAAGTTGAGGAACTTTTTGAAGAACCTCTTAGACTCTGGAATACACCACCATTTGCAAATTCAATGAAACCTCCTGAGACAATTGAAACAACTGTTCACCAACCAGTTACCTTTCAGTCCAGTAACAGCAGTCCATCAACCAACACCACACCATTACAGTGTGGGGTAACATCTCTTGCTCAAGAAAGTCCAGTGGCTGAGGATGCTCTTCAAAGAAAGTTGCAAAAAAATACACAGGAGTGTTTATCCAGAAGTGCAGATAAATATTGTAGTTCTATAGTAGGAATAAAGAATAAAATATTTGGAATAGAAAGCAATGTGGCAGTAGTCCAGGAAGGCGCATCAAACCGTGAATCACACAGGACCTTTAGAAAACTAACTAATGACAAAAGACCTAAAAGAAATAGAGGAGAAATTCATATTCCTCAAAACCAGGAAATTATGTTGCCTGAAAAAGTTTCTAATTTAACATCAAAATTGAGTGGATCAGTTGAACAAGAAAACAGGATGTCACAACCAACCTTACATAGTCAGGCATCAACAAGTAAACAAGTAAACTTGCCAGTACAGCAGGGACAAATACAACCCCATCATATATCAACTGGTCAAGTAAAAAATACACTGAGAACATTTAGGAAGTTGAATAGGAGTAAACCTGCGACGAGTCCTTTAGGTAGTAAGACGAGTGTTGTACCATTACATGAAAGTAATATAAAATCTCAGCCGCCTTCATTGAGTGGGCAAATTAATATCTCCCTTAGGAAATTCAGAATTTTGCCAAAGAATAAATTTTTAGCATTAACAAAAAGAAGTATAGAACAAGCAAATAACTCATCACAGGAGAAAGAGCTACCAACCCAACCATCAAAATCCAGTGAACACGTTATTAACTTTGGATCACAGAAAAAAAACTTGCTTAGCCAACCAACATCATCAGATAAACAAGTATTTAATTTAGCATCACAGCAGAAAGACATGGTGACTGTTCCATTAACCCAAAGTAGACAAATTCAGAATTTAACGTCTCCGAAGAATAACACAGCACAACTATCAACATCTAATGATCAAGTAGTTAACTTTACATCTCAACATAGAAATGTGGCCAAACTATCAACATCAAACGAACAAGTAATTAACTCGGTATCGCAGCAGGAAAACATTCCAACCCAACTGTCTCCATCAATTAGACAAAGTTATTCAGCATCACAGAAAAGTTTACCAACCCAACTGTCAACTTCAAATGATCCACTAATTAGCTCAGTTTCAAAGAAGATGCGCGTGGAAGTTCAACCATCATGTGAAGAAATTAATGCTCCACAAACACATACAAAAATTACACCAACCCATCAATCGTCATCAAAAGGACAAGTATGTACCACAGCAACTCGGCAACTGGAGAGCATACAACCTCAAACGTCAAGTAAAAAAGTGCTTAATGTAACATTTGTGTCAACATCAGTTGAAAAAATTAAAAAACTAATATTTCAGAGTGAAAGCTTACCAGTTCACCTAGATAATGGACAAACAATTTAACATTGGATCAGATCAATGGATAACCATTTTATTTAGCATCACACATGATGAACATGACAAACCAACCATTAAGTTCAAGTGGACAAATACCGCACTAAAAACACACAGTACTGTATTAAGACCAAAAAGAAACCGCCTAGAACAAGTCATTGTAACAACATAGAAACTCAAGCTCAATCATAGGCATCAGGGGTACTAAATAATTTAATATCACAGTAGCAAATGTCGGCATTAAATGGACAAATACTTGAGTTGTCATCCAGAACAATATAGAATAAAACGCTGCCCAGCCGTCAACATAGTGAACATGTCTGTAACTTGACATCGTAGCTGAGAAATATAAAGAAGCACTTTATTTAGTTTTTCTGGGAAGCTCCCTCAGTAGCTCTTCGAGTCAAGCTCTGGTCCAGCCAGACCTTGAAAAGATGAACAGGCTTTTGAGACCTATCCTTGCCTACCAGAATTCTGACTCTGACACCACACTCTTCAAGGTAAGAGAGTTCGGGAAAACCTAAAACCAAAAAAAGAAAATATCGGAAAGAATAAGTGCAACAAAATGTCAACTGCTTGAAAAAAATTAGGAACCTGCAGATACAGTAAGGCAAACAGTCATTGCTTTGGTGTAAACACAGCAATGCCTTTACACACTGCACCACTTGGTGCAGCCCAAGTCACCTGGAAACCTAGCCAGACAGTGCCTGGCCGTACTTCTTGTGTGTCTGGAGCTTTCCACTTTCACCAAGGGTGTACTTGGGTTGTGTAGACGATTCTTGTCATAGCTACTTGTGCTTTTTCCTGCTGTATTTTTATGGTCTGGGTTTGCTCAGCTGAGAAACTGTCCTAATGCCTGGCTCACCTGTCTGTGTGCTGGTCCAGATGGCTGGATTTCCTTGTGCTTGTCTTGTTTACATTTTCACTCATGCTGTTATGGCATTGCAGTTAGTTTCCATACTTAACAGCAGGAATGCTGTGGTTGCTATCTTTCTGCTTGTAAATGCAGAGCTGCCCTCTTCTAACTCTAGTGGGCTACTGCTGGCTTATGCTGTTGTGGGTGACATTAGTACAACTATGCTTTATGGTGCAGGTGGTTGTTCTCTGATGACCAGACCACACACTAGAATGTGAAGGGACGACGACGTTTCGGTCCGTCTTGGACCATTCTCAAGTCGATTTGATTCTCTACCATTGTAGCTGTGTTGCTGGCTATGACTAGACTTCCATCTTCGCAGTTTCGGGGTTTCTAAGGTCCCTGTTGGACTGATGCTTGACAGCCCCAAGGATTTCCCTTTCCCTACTGGGTTAATCTTCCTTCCTACTAACATGTTGTGGTCTCTGAAGTTGCCTGTAGCAGCTATGACTATGTTCAATTTCCCATAGATGCTCTGTTACCACTGCCAGATTCTGGGAGCTCCCTCTCACCTTTAAGGGTGGTGTATAGGCACTAGGCTTTGTGTACATTGGCCTTCTTACACCATGAGAGCATCTCCACAAGGCCCCTGGAAGGAGTTTGGGTTTTTCCTGGTTTTGACCTGCCCGAGGGGTTTGTATACTGTGTGATAATACCTTGAGTGGAGGTTATTACAATCTTATTTCCTGGTTTGGTTTTCCCTCTGCTTTGGGACCCTCCTGTTATCTTTATTCCAGTCAGTTGTTTCTTACCATGAATGGTTAATGTGACTGGTTCAGGCTTGGCTGCTTTATCCAACTCTGCTTCTCTGTACTTACTGTCAATGTTTTGTACCAACTACTATTCCACTATATTTGCAGGAATCTTTTTAAGGGGGCGCCTGGTTATTATAGTGAAAGTTGTTCAATGTCAACCAATATTATTTTTCTAGTTGTATATGAAAAGTGCTTAAATTGTCCCAAGTTTCAGTACTGCAGCGTAAATAGAAAGGGAGTTTTTTTTTTTTTTTTCAACGTTTTTTACACATTTTCAAGTCCACACTTCAGAACACACGTTTCAGATATAATTATTCTGTGACACTTTTCTGACACATTAGCATATAATAAAGGATTTGGGGATTTAGAATTTCCAAAACATCTTTAGTTTTCCTAATACAAATGTTCAAAGTTCCCCAAATTTTTTTTGCAAATATGGCATGTTTATTGCTATTATAAAATCAATAAATGAACTTAGAGAAAAATGAAAGCCCCCCCCCACAATGTAGAGACATGCCCTCCACATATACTGTGTAAGTTTCATGTAAGTTGAATAAAAAAGGAATCAGTTTTGTAAACGTTTGTGTCAATTGAAAAAAAAACAGAAATTAATAAAGTCTATGGTTCTAAAATCTGTGACTGAGGTTGACATCAACCAATTTTCTCCAAAATTGGCATCCTTACAGATAGGCTTACGTACAGTCAGGTGTGTAAGCTTGATGCAAATCGCCAAAAAAAAATTAAAAACAAAAAAAAAAAAATTTTTTTTTTTTAATTTTTTTCCAATTAAACTAATTATAATATTTGTTTAATATATGCTATTGTGATAGCAAAGAGTCGTAGTTATGATTTCAGTTGACACTTTTGATTGATAATCGATTTTGACCATTTTTGCATAATTTTCACAACTACTTCAACATTTTTTTTCTCCCTTCCTATTTATGCTACGATGCTGAAACTTGGACCAGATGAAACACTTTTCATATAGAACTTGTCAAAAAAGTTTGATTGAAATCGAACGAGTTTTCATTTTTGCATTTTTGGACCCAGATGCCAACCAGATGCCCCCTTCAGCCAATTTTTGCCCTCTTGTCATTCTTTAACACTCCCACTCATTGGTTGTTTATATGGTTTATGTGCTGTGCCATATGCTTTTCATGCTGAAGGATATGATCTGTTTGCCCAGAACGCCCTTGTCTCTGTTCCAGGAGTGTGGTGTCTGGGGGGCTTTTCACGATGTCTAGTACTGAGTTTAGGGTTTCCATGGGCTTGTCTGCCTTGTTACCTTCTTGGGGCGCTGCTCCCTCCATGTATGTGTGCCGCTATAGCTACATTTTATTGCTACTAGTGTGTATTCACCTAGTTGTGCTTGCGGGGGTTGAGCTCTGCTCTTTCAGCCCGCCTCTCAACTGTCAATCAATCAATTGTTACTAACTACTAACTTTTTTTTTTCCCCACACACCTCATAGCAGCTGTCTAACTCCCAGGTACCTATTTACTGCTAGGTAACAGGGGCATCAGGGTGAAGGAAACTGCCCATTTGTTTTTCCGCCGGCTACCAGAATCGAACCCCAGTCCCTAGGTCCACTCGTCTAGAGCGCTGTCCACTCAGCCAGCCAGCCCCTTAACACTTTCGCGCTCTCGGCGCTAAAAAAAAAACAATACCCCAGATGCTTTCGGCACTTCGCGCGCCTACGCGGTAAGACCGAAAAAATTACACTCTTTTGACTGTCCTGACAATAATTGAAGGCGCACGTATTTAAATTTGGTATCACTGTGTTCGCAATGAAATTGTCTATAAGAGCATACCTATAAAACGCCGCCCAAGCATAAGGAGTATCAACACCAAATAAAAAACTATGCAGATCACTCGCCGAGAGCGCCAAACAGCAACAAAATGTTTCCACTTTCTTAATGGTTGCGAAGCCTACAGTTGTCCTACATCGCTAATTTTGGTATCATTGGAATCGCAATAAAATTCTCTACACGGACATATGCATATGAATGTTTAATATAGGTAATTGCCCACCCGCAAGAGTGTGTGAAGTGGAGAGTAGTTAGCCGCGAGCGCACTGGCGAAAACACAGGGGGGAAATCATGCTTGGAAAGTTTATACGTTTCCTGACCTTACTTTTCTATGTACGTATTTCTTTTTTATACCAATGTGTTCGCAATAAAATTTTCTATAAGATGAACTGTATAACATTGGTACAAAGCATGTGTAAGAGAAGCGCCAAATATAGAACCACGTCGCTCGGTATGCATTCGCGGCAGAAACGAACGCATTGTTTTCGTTCGTTTGATGTTTGTTATGTTTATACTTGTTGAAACATTTTATAATTTGTATGACTGATCGCAGTAAAATTCCCTACACAGACATATACATAACACATACAAATATTTCCCACGTGTTGGATATATCAACGGCTAAAGGGAACCCACTGCCACACGCTCGCCACACCCCCAAACATACTTTGTGTATTTTTTTTTTTTACTCATAGACGTTTATGTGATATAATATTCATTCTGGTACCAAAAAATTCGCAAATAAATTCTCTACAAAACAAAAGTATCCCCATCCATTTCGGTTAAAAAATGGAATTTATAGAAATATTTTTTCGATTGACGAGAAAAGTAGGCAGTTATGCGGAATCGTAAGAAAAACCAGTGACGAGTTATCTCTAATATAAAGCGCGAAAGTGTTAATGTGTGTACTTCATTGAGAGGTCCTAGGTTTCCACTGTGGCATTTCTGGACCTGATGTCAGATTTTGACCCAGGCATCAGGTTGCAAACCTTGTTCTTTGTGGAATGTGCCTGGCTCTTTCCATTCTATTGGTCTGGATGTTTCCGAGTGTTTTTCTCAGTTGTTCATGGGCAGTGTGTTCTGGTGTGCCAAGCCTATATGCCTAGCTGTTTTTGGGCTCCGGAACTGGAATTTTCCCAGGCTGTACACCTAGTACTCTCCATACCTTGAAGTTCAGGGCAGTGTGCCCAGATCTACCCAGAATGTATCCCTGCCTTGACCAAGGTTGACCTAGGCTTCCACCTGGCAGCAGTGAGGTGCATCATGGTTAGGGTGTTTACACAGTGGCCATGATTATTTACCTTGTTATCTCAAGGTACCTAATTTTCTTCACAGTGACCTGCTCTGTTACACATAATAAATGGAATGCAATAGGAAGCGATGTGGTGGAGGCTGGCTCCATACAGTTTCACAGGTAGATATGGTAGATCCCAATAAGTTCAGGAACCTGAACACCAGTAGATTGACAGTTGAGAGGCAGGACCAAAGAGCCAAAACTCAACCCCCCCACAAGCACAACTAGGTGAATGAATACTTATTCTTTCTGGTACTATTTCTTTAGGAAAGGTGTTAATTTCTTTTCCCCAAGCTCTCCTTGCCTTGTAGAGAGAGCCATATTGACCTTTGCTTTCAGGAAACAAGAGTGTAGTCTCATAGGTCTGGTGTATCTGCCTGAGGTTTGCCTCAGTGAGCACTTGGGAATCACTGACATTTATTCAGATTTTTCCTATTCTGACTCCCAACCAGAAATTTGTTTATTGCACTCCTTCCTAAAGCTTGAGGTAGTTGTCTACTGTACAAGATGAGTAAGATTTAGCATGTTTTTACATTATAGTCACTGTAATGAAAGTATGACTAAACATAAACAAAATAGTAGTGCCTAAAATGGGAAGCAAAGTACTATAGCATGAAATGGTAAAAGATTATTGTGAGTGGCAAAACAGGATACGTTCAAGCAACAGTTATGCGTATTACTGTGAACAATGATGTAAATGTTAGTTATAAAATAATGTGGTAAAAATTAAGGGAATGCAGATGGTTTCAGTGAGAGACTAAAGGCAGTTAGAAGAAATTATTGATTTCCAATATAGAGTTTTCAACTCCTTTAAGGAAGGTGAAAGAATTGTTAAAGC